CGTCTGTTATTGTTTTAGCTCAAGTTTCAAACACATGTAGCGTTAACAGGCGTATCATTACTTTGTATAATGTTAGTTTAGATTTGATTGAAATTAGTTTAGATTTTAATGTTGTCTTTAAACCGAAAAACCGAAAAACCGAAACAATATAAGGACAAACAATATAATTTGGTATGAGCTTTTTATTTACACCTGTTGTAACATAATTATTTTTCAACATTACATAATCACCTTTTTTATATAGTTTGGCTGCCTTATATTTCTTATCATAATATTTTTTGTTATTTTCTTGACATTTTTCTATTTGCTCTGCAGCACTATTCCTCATCTCTTCCAAGTTTCTACATCCAACATCACCTATATTCAGATATTCTTTAACAAGATCATTCACTATTCCCCTTTGTCTAATACCAAATAATAATTCACTGGGAGTTTTACCTGTACTCTTACATACCGAATTATTAACCGCAAACTCAGCTGCTTCTAATACTTGATCCCATCTATCGGGGCTAGGACTTAATTTGGCTAAAATAGGTATGATAGTTCTATTTGCCCTCTCTACTAGTCCATTTGCTCTAGGTACACCACTGGCTATTAATGATAACTCTATGTCATTTGATTCAACAAATTCCTTAAACATGTTAGAAGTAAAAGCTGTACCTCTATCAACTATAATGCGCTTCGGTCTACTATAAGTTCGGAAATATTGTTTTAAATACCTGATTATTTCCCTTGAATTAGTGGTTTTACAAGCATTTAATTTAATAAACTTAGAGAATCCGTCTATAATTACTAATAAATATTTATTTTTAAATCTTGTTTTTTCTAAAGTACAATGATCAATATGAATAGTATAAAATGGTTCATTTCTTTTTGGGATATTATGTAAAAAGCCTTTTGCCTTGCCACTCGCTGGAGAGTAAACTATACATTTCATACAATTGTTTATGTATGTTTTTACCTTCAAACGCATCTCTGGAAACCAATATGTTTTTGACAAAGCTAACATGGTTTTATCTATCCCGACATGTCCCAATTCATCATGACATGTACGAATTACACTTTGTTCCATAGATTTTGGGACATAAAATAACAAACCTTTTTTGTCTTCAAGTGTATAAGTATATTCTTGTAATATAAATGACCACCTAAGGATTTTGGTATTAATTTCGTTTTTTGATAGAGCTAATTTTAAACTACTACAATCTGTAATAATTTTGAATTCTATACCTTGTAAATAAACTCTGAATCGCTGTAAAGAATACACAACCGCCAACATTTCCAGTTCAAAACTGTGATAATTACTTTCAGTTGGTGTAGTTCTCTTACTGAAATGTGCTACTGGATGAAATTTACCATCAGATTGTTTTTGCATTAGTATTGAGCYATATCCATGTGAAGACGCATCACAATGTAATTGTGTTTCCAATAATGGAGTATAAATTTATAATATTGGTGGGGAAACTAATAAGCATTTTAAATGATTAAAAACATCCATTTCCCTTTGACCAAACACGAAGGGAGTATTTTTTTTTAATAATTCATAAAGAGGTTTTGCTATCAATGAAAAGTCTTTAATAAATTTTCGAAAATATGAAGCCAATCCTACAAAGCTATGTAGTTCTTTTGTCGTTTTAGGTAAAGGGAAATCTTGTATAGCTTTTATGTTACATGTGTCTGGTTGTATACCTTCTCCTGATATAATATACCCTAAATATGAGATTGTATTATATAAAAATGTACATTTATCTAATCTTAATACTAGCAGATTATCTACTCATAACTTTAATACTTTTTTAAAAATGTAAAAATGACTTTGTACATCCCGAGTTGCAATCATGATATCATCAATATATATTAGAATTTCACCACATTCAATTAAATCTTTAAAAATTAAATTAATGTAACGCATAAAAACT